ATGCAACATGGACACGCGCGCCTTGAGTTCAATATATTATCTCAGTCGCACGTCGCCGCAATTCGACACCTTTACTAGGATACGGATACGAACAATCGAAAACAGATCCGAAGCACGAAAATCGCATCTTTAACACGGCGAGCTATTACGCCCCCCTATCCTAGAAGATGAGTGCCAGATCCCCCTCTAGGACTGGCTGCCTCAGGGGCGTATTGCGATAGGGGAGGGGGGGGAGGGGAGGGGAGTGGTACCGCGGACAGCTGTCCCTTTATAATTTGTCTATGCATTATTGATGTGCATGTGTGTAAGTGTCGACCATCAAAAACAGACGAAAAATCGTAAAGCTAAATACACTCAAAACTTATGATCGTATAAACATGCAAAAAATTGTCGCGCCTATGGTGTTCTACGATGCTTGCTCCATCGAAAACATCGCTTCTGCCCTCCCCCTCCCTATTGCGGGATCCTGTTATCGCCCCAGGCCGGCCCGCGGTGCATTATTTAACACGTAGCACTGTCGGCGACGCACGCCCCATATCGCTGTCGGAGCCGCTACGCCGCCTCAGCCTGGATGCCCTTCGCCACAGCACGCGCCACCACCGCGCCCGTACACCTACACACCCCTTATCACGAGCGGATCGGAGCGCCGGCCTCGCCCCGCTCCCCCCCCCCCCCCCCCCCCCAGATGCCGCACGTCCACACGTACCGCGTCAATTAGTGTACTAAACGGGGCGGCGGTATGTGACACCGATAGGACGTCCGACGTAAACACGGCCTCGCGTGAGCCGCCAGCCGCTGACACTCGAGGAGAAGCCGGACGCCGGGGCGCCCGTCACCGGGGCTTGCATACGTCACGTGTTTAACGGGGTGCTTTTTACTGCACTGATGTTTCGTCACTGCGTCAAAGTTGCCGTTGTAAATTCGCCCTCCTGCCAGACAGCGACCCTGCGTGTTCGACAGGCAATGACTCAAAACATTCATTGTCGCTGGCCGCGAGAACGCGCCCACGGCCATGTCTTGTTTACACACCAACACAATGGCACGAGGTCCAACACTGCGTGTCCTGTTGCGAGACAGCACGCCTCACCACAGCCATGGCAACGTCCCTTCCCGCCCCCCCCCCCCCCCACACACTCCTCGCTGTTGAACCGGTCCTTATATCGCGCCTAGATACCGCGGGCCGCGATAACGCCAGCCACCGCGCCGCGGGTCACGGCGAGACGACAGCAGGGTCCAGAGCACGCCGGCGCGGGTCACAGAGAGATGACAACAGGGTCGGGTCCAGAGCACGCCGGCGCGGGTCACAGAGAGATGACAACAGGGTCCAGAGCACGCCGGCGCGGGTCACAGAGAGACGACAGGGTCCAGAGCACGCCGGCGCGGGTCACAGAGAGATGACAACAGGGTCCAGAGCACGCCGGCGCGGGTCACAGAGAGATGACAACAGGGTCCAGAGCACGCCGGCGCGGGTCACAGAGAGATGACAACAGGGTCCAGAGCACGCCGGCGCGGGTCACAGAGAGATGACAACAGGGTCCAGAGCACGCCGGCGCGGGTCACAGAGAGATGACAACAGGGTCCAGAGCACGCCGGCGCGGGTCACAGAGAGATGACAACAGGGTCCAGAGCACGCCGGCGCGGGTCACAGAGATGACAACAGGGTCCAGAGCACGCCGGCGCGGGTCACGAGAGATGACAACAGGGTCCAGAGCACGCCGGCGCGGGTCACAGAGAGATGACAACAGGTCCAGAGCACGCCGCGCGGGTCACAGAGAGATCACAGAGAGATGACAACAGGGTCCAGAGCACGCTAGTGCGGCTGCGTCGGAATGTCTCTGACCGTCACGGACCAACGGAGCAGCGGCAGCCGAGGCTCGGTCGACCGCCTGGCCATCGGCGGCGCGTCCGGCGCCGATGTCCCCGCCGTTACCGTCGGAACTCCTCTCCAGAACCGACGCTGCGGACCGACGCGCCGACCTCTACACGCTCCGCGCACGGCCGCCGCTGCCGTCGTGAGCCCGCACGCCTCTTGCAGAGCATGCTCCGATTGCACGGCACGGGTTGCAACGAGGTAAGGAAAATGGCGGGAGAGGTCAGGCGGCCGATAGCGACGATCACTTTCAGACTTGGCACAGCTCCCAACCACTGTGCCAAGAGGGAGCAAGCCTGACTACATCGACGCAAGGTACCGAGGTAACGTCCACAGCCAAGCCTTGTCCCCGGGAGTGCTCAGACGGAACTATTAATTACCTTCAGGCCGTTACAACATGAACCGCCATTGTTCTAGCAGTGTCGGTTCCTTTACAATCCTCTTCCACACCCGCTGCACCGAGGACATCCACACATTTAGAGCCGAACCCATGCGTCAGCCATCGCTTTATGGGTGAGCGCTACGTCCTCCCATTCACACGAAAGGGTCGCTCTCACCGTCCGTCCGCGACGCGCGATGGCAGGCGCTCGGGAAGGAACCACGGGCCAGAATGGCGGGAACAAGGCCGAGTGGCGGGAAAAGGCTAGATGGAGGACTGGCCGAGTGGCGTACCCAACAGAAAAGGTCAGGCCGGGACGAGGCAGTCATCAGCGGACGTGTCATACGCATGTCACGACAAAACTGACGTGATGTAGCACAAATCAGAAGGTGGACAACAATTTTTCCAAAGAATTATTCAACAAATTCTCTTCTCTCTCATCAACATCCACGGACTCCTCTGCTTGCCTTCGACGGGTCCCGAAAATGTCCGCCAGCTTCGTCTCGCGTGCGTCATGCATAGCCAACGGTCGCAGCAAGGCATGACGACAAAACAGTTTCCGTCTTTATCATGCTCCGAAAAATATCCGTGATTCTCCCTCGGCATAGTTGTGTGTGGCAATTCTCCGTATTGGCAGTTCCTAACGCCATTCCTGCAGAATTTTCCAGCACTCCTCAGAATTCTCCGAGATTAGTTACCAGCTGGTTTAGCGATTGGCTGCAGATGATTGACACGCCCTTTGACACAGGTGCTGACCAACATCGAGCACACTGAGTGGTCAACAACAAGCGCGGAATGTGTGAGCTTATACGTGGACTAAGTAGTGAGCATGAAGCGATCGTTCAACTTAAGATTTCCTGACACACCTTCGGAAGATAAGCCTGTCCAAGCACACGCAGAGCACAGCGTAAAATAAATCTGCGCACCTCATGAGCCGTAACGATCCACCATATGGTTGCATGACTACAACGCTCGAAAGAGCCTCATACCCGACGAACCAATGCATGCCGGAGCGCCCACACAACACCGCCAGCACCAGCGCATCGAAATCAGAGAACACCATCCGCGGCTTCGGACCCAACGCTGCTCTCGTCCTCTGCCGCCAGGGCCGGGCGTGGTCGTGTTTTTTTTTGTGTCGCTGGGCGGCTCTAGCCACGTGCTCGCTGCTCTTAAAGGCAACGGCGCGGTTCTAAGAGGTTTCGGCCAACGGAAGCGTGCATGCAGTCTCATAAACGTAAGCAGTCGTACGGAATGACACACTGACCCTAGATACGGATCTTCGAGAGAGCGGTTAGATAGCAGTCGATACAAGTGGCCACAGTTTGCGCACGTAAGCGCTGGCAGCAACGCGCGGCTAGGCACGGGCGTGCTGCTGTCGAACTCGTGGAAACGACAGCAGCTGATTGGCCAACGATGAGCAAATGCACTTTTACGCAGACGTCGCGTAACATGACGCCTGACCTTCTTCCAGAGGACGTGTTTAGCTCAGTGTACTTGGCTGCCTTGCCACGTTCCATCATGCCATTCATGATGTGGTAAGACGAGATACCGTTGGGCTTTTTCGTGTGTGCCTACCCCCTCTTTGTGAGCATTCTCGCTTCCCTCGTGAATATTAACACGTTCCTTCAGAATATCCTCGGTACTATCCCGACCTTCTGCTGTAAATATCCGGGTGCCTGCTATACATATCCGGACTACCTGTCGCGCACGTCCGGGTTCATTCCTCGAGCATATCGCCCCCCCCCCTCCGTCCCGCTGGTCCCGCTCTCTGCTGGTTAGGGCCTCGCAGCCCCGATCCGGGCGGTCCCCATCTCGCCGATCACGATCTCGGCCGCCTCGGCGGGGGTCCGACCGCCTCAGTCGGGCGGGCGCGGCCTTCAGGTGCCGGCCGGTCGCCGGCCCCAGCCGCCGGGTCGGCCGGTGCAGCGAACGGCCGGGCGTGGACGGGGCCGAGCAGCCGGCGCAGACGGGGTGGCAGCCGGGACGCGCGCTCAGCACTGATACGGGTCACCAGGTGGCCTCTGTTTACCTGCTGACCGGCTCGAGGCGTGGGTGGTTTTCGAAAGCACAGGCTGTGCAGACTGCTATCTTGTTGCAGCCTTTTACGGCAGCAAACAACAACGCCGCGCGGACCATCAAAGCAGGCGCGTGGCACCGCGGCCCCCCTCGGCCCGGCAGCAGCCCAACCCGCACCCATCCCGCTTCTCCGCACTCTACATCGTCCACACGTCCCTCGAGGCGTACAAGCCGGGCTCACCCAGCAGGCGCGCGGCGGCCGGCATACCGCCGCGCTGGCCCTGACACCTACCTGGGTCCGGCATGCGACGGCCGGCCACCAAGGATACCGACCCGGCCGCCCGCCCGCCTAACCCGGTGGCGGGGCGCGTGGCCCGGCCGCAGCACCCCGGCGACGCGGCGGCACGGGTGGTAGAGATCGATAGTAAAAAAACTTGGGCGGTTTAGAACGCGTGAAAGATGGGTTGTTCTGCTGTAGTACTGGAACAGCCGACGCACAGGTGATTGCGCGGCTCTGCGTTACTCACGTCATGCCGACACGACTGGATTGCCAGCCACCTGCCTTAAAAGTGCAAACAGTTTGCCAACTTCACACGCCCACAAGCCTGTTGTAGGTCTTCGGGCTTCAACATAACCCCAGGCATGACGCAGCAACGGGAACTACGCTCTTATCGGGTTTCATCAGCTGGTAAGCGGGCCTGCACGCCCGGCAGGCCGGGCAGCAGCGGCGCCTACCTGCGCGGCGGCCCGCAGGCAGTCGGACGTCTCGCAGCGTACGGTCTCGTCCACGGGCGGCGGCGGCGGCCACGAGGCAGCCAACACGATCACTATCATCAGCAGCAACAGCGCCAGCAGGCCCAGCACGGCCAGCGTCAGCATCCAGCGCAGCGGCAGGCCCAGCGAGGCGGCCGCCCAGCGCAGCCGACCAGGCCGCCGCTTGCTCGGCTCAACAGAGTCGTCCAGCATGGTGTCACGCTCGCGCGGCTCGGCGACCGGCTCGCCGTTCTCACCGCCCATCGCGCTGTCGCGGGCCGCACACGTTCCCAGGCCACACTCGCCGCACCCGGTGACTCGCAGTCCCACTGCCGTCAGCGCGCGGCGCCGACCGGCCGACGCGCTGCCAGCGCCGCCGCTCGCGCGGCGGCCGGGCGGCGAACTAGTGGGCGGCCCGCGGATTACGTGCCACGTGATCGCCGCAGGCGCCGCCGCTGATCTCCGAAACGATGGCGACCAGCGGTGTGGCTACGTTGAGGTACTTCCACCCCGACCAACTGACGATGGGTGTCGCTCCTCACGAGCTGAAACTCCTCCGGTAGTGTTGTGACGTCAGCTAGCGGAGTGTCAGGCCGGGCTGGCGGAGTGGCGGCGCGCGTGCCGGCCGGCGTGGCCCCGCCGTGACGTCACCAGGTATCGGGGCGTGCCGGCGCCCGGACCGGTTGTGGGCCGTCCTGACGGGGAACGTGGAGCGGTCATCGCCTTCTCCTGAGCGCGCCGTGCATTCTGTCAGGATTTGCGCTTGGGCACCCGCGGAGCGGTGGGGTCCGGGGACCCCAGTGACAAACTTTACTTATGAGTTCTAACAAGATTACATCGAAATCGATCTGGTCCCAGTAAAACAGTTCCGTTCGGTTGCGACTGTATTGCCACCTGTCTGTGTGAAGTGTGTCTCAAATGCCGTTTGGAATTTTCATTTTTCGCGCATTCAGCAGGGCTCATTTTGCTACCAACCGCAAGTGTTCGTGGCCCCTAAATTAATCTTAGTGATCCCATCCCGAGTAACACCGGGTTTCCCGCCCGGGCTGATCGACAGGAACGATCCTGAGGCTTGCAGGAAGGAGGTGCGACGCATTCCTGCATTATCCTCGGCTCAGACAGTAATGCTGGCTCGTAATTCTAATGTAGCACTGCTATTTTCAAGCATTGCGTGATATAGTGGTGTAGTATCGCAGTATCGGACTCATAGGTCGACTGTTTCCATCTGAAATTGCTGGAAGCAAGGCACCCAACTTATGCTAATAGCCGTACCTGTTCGGAACCCAGTCAAGTGGAAGCGCAAGCATTCGAGGCAGTGTGACGACCCCTTGTTCGGCAGCGGGTGCCTCTCCTAGCTAAAATTAGGCATCGGCGATAGGCATCGAGCACACCAGACACGGCGGCGCCCCGGTGCTCTTCTAAACCGGCACCCCGGTGATGGTGCAAGCAGCGACGCGCCCTGGTGCTCTTCTAAACCGGCACCCCTTGTGATAATGCAGCCGGCGGCGAGTGACTGGAAATGAGCTCATCTGGTTAAACCCCCTGGCGTTCTCACAATCGGAATCAGTCGCTGCTGAGCGGGTTTTGTTTGATTCGGTGTCAGTGGAATGGATTCCTGCGCCGTCTCACAGCGCATGGATATTTGTTTAAATGTATATTCTCACCCCAAATCAGGGCAGCTCGGTGCTGCTGCACCGGCTCTCATCCCGGCTCAAGGAGCTTTGACTCAGTTCCAGGATAGATTCCGTTAGTTATTGCAGTAGCAACGGCTTAGAAAAGAGCCCGGCCTTCATACAACCCAAAATAGAACGTTGAGCTCTAAAGGAATACGATTACGCACGATTGTGTTCCATTTAGCCCACATATAGGTTACTTGCCACGCCATAATATGCCACGCTGTGTGTGTTTGTATATAAATAGGCCAACCGACGACTTAATTCACTCGAGTTAAATTTTGGCTTTTCGAAAACATCAAGGAAATCCATTTTGCCCGGATGAATCGACGAAAACCTGGTCGAGTGCGTAGCTGATCCCAGCTCCAGCTGACGTCAGAGGTGAGGCTGCTTCTGAGACATCTCGGACGCCCCAAGGCTGCAAGGACGCTGCTGATACGCCATTGCATTTCTGAATTAAATAACGCGCCTTCAGTGCGAACACTTGCATCTCAGGTGTGCACGGCTGCGATCGGTACGTACAGTCTCAAGAAGCAGCACTAGTCCTGTCATTGGTCTCACTATGTGAACTCAACGCTTCGCCGTTCCCAGCATCTCCTCTCAGCAGATCGTAGTGCGACATCCTATCCCTCGGTTTTCACCATCCTTTCAGCCTATCCTTCACTCGCGGCGCCATTCTCGCGCCTGTGTACGTTGCCGGCTTTGTTCTGGCGAGATCCATGCTACCCGATCAACAGGCCGGCTCTTCGTCTGGTGTATGACGTGCTTGGCGTCTTTGATCATTTAGCGTCGATATCTCGCACCTGATGTGACGGAAACAATGAATGACTAGGTGTGAAAGCTCGGCTTGAATCCGCGGGCGCTCCATCCACAGCCGCTAGCGGCAGCCCTCCATTTGCGCGAACCTCCCTTTTTCCGTCTCAGACAAAACTGCGGGCCTGAGATGTACCTGCACTGCCCTACTCCGTAAACGTCCAGGTCAGACGGAATTTGTGAATCTGTCATTGTGAATGACGCTCTTAAATGACTTCTGCCATACCAGCGAATAATTTGTCCAGCGTGCAGATATCCTTAAGGAAGGCCCTGTCATGCACGGGTAGCTCCACGAACAGGCGCTGGGACTGCCAGCGATAGTGTGTCGGACGGAGCGATTGTCGGAGACGACGGCCCTCGTTGGGGGCGTGACGTCTCTCGCGCGACCGTATGGTGCTGGCGCAGCTGCTCGGCATCCTCAGGACCTAGGTCAGCGGAGTGAGGCACGGAGGCAGCAACAGCGTTGCGCCCGGTGGGCTCGGACTTTGTGCGCTTACATGAACGAACACTCCACCGGGAAGGGTAACACCGTGCTCCCCGGTGAAAGTGCGTAGCCGGCGGCTCAGTTCGTACGTATTTGTCGGCGCATCACCAGCGGATGTACGCCGTACGTGTTCCTGACGTTGGTCTGGTCCACGCCGCGCCCTCGCGGCCAGACGCGTCCTCTGGTGGTTCCGGTGCTGACATTCCGCCCTGACTGAGGTGGCTGTCCGCGACTGAGCTAATCACAGTGGTCGACCTTCGTCCTGTTTGTCCCCGTACCGAGCTGTCCGGCCGCCAGCACGTCCGCTCGCCGCACTGCGGTCCCTACAGGGGGCGAGCAGCACCGCTGGTTAAATATTCTTGCAGCCGGTTCCCGACTCGCAGATTAAGTTCACGAGATTGGGCTTTGCATCAACAACTAGTGACACCACTCAGTAAAATAATGAAACTGAAAGATAGGATTGACCTGAACTGCCAAGTAATTAAGAGCGAATGGACGTATATATGGTAAACGTGTAACGGGTTGCAATGGTACGAACGATAACACGGAATACATGTTAAAAGACAGAGCATGTACTCCACAGAGGATGGGCTAAACGCCGAGAATGCGAGAATGCTGATAAACACCACTTGCAAACAGGGGTTGGTTTCCTTTTGAATCGTAGTCCGAGTTTAGACACGAAGTGTGACATTTGACTCCATTTGGGAAGCACGACGCGTTTAAGACGCGTTTGTCCACTGCGCGATTGCTTCGCTGCGCGCTGATGCGGTACGGGCTGGAGTGCTGCACTGGACCAGTCACAGTGTTCTTATGATGTGAGCCTACCACGACTCTCTTCGCCTTTGCATCTTCCCATCACACATCATGCCGGCGATCTGTGCATTGTCGCTGCCAGTTGTCCAACTTCCTCTCCGCCGCCGTGGCATCAGAGGTAAGAGTTTCAGAGGTGCTGGTTTCATCATCAAGGTTTCATCAGAGGTGCTTAAGACGAAATGAATCCATCTGGCGATCGAACCATCAACATGGGCTGTGAGGCGCCACGTAAAGTGCAATAACACTACGCAACGCACTATACAATGCACCATGCTGTAGGCCCTACCACAGCTATGAGGCACCACGTAAAGCGCAATAACACTACGCAACGCACTATGCAATGCATCATTCTGTAGGCCGTACCACAGCTGTCTTTCCATCCTCCTTATGCCTATGTTTGTTTGTACTACGCTTATGCTTCTTTTTATCAAAGATTTAGTTCGAGACTTTTGAATGGATAGGTTTTGGTGGAACCACAGCCCACGCTAAGCAGTGCCTGTTGCGTGACCCCTGGCCCCACCATGCGAAATTCCAGGTCAACAGGATACTTTGGTGCGAAGGCTTAAGTGCCGTAATACTCGTCGCGGTCAGCCATGCGCTCTGATGTCACTTGACCTTTGACGCTGCCGCTGCCGCCGGCCGCAGGCCATCTCCGTCGAGAACAGATGGCTAACGCAAAAGTTCCCTGAAGCTTAGCCCGCCAAGGGTGTGTAGAACGGAATGCACGCGCCCCAACCAACTGGTCAACCAGGATGGACACGTGATACAGCACGTCCATTTACAAACCACACAGATCAAGTCAAGTTTAAGATCACAGCCAAGGTCGTGTGACTTGAACGCTGACCACAGTAGTTGGACCCGCACCGTTTCCTGCTAAGGGCGTCCTAGTTATTTCCATGGATAAAAATACTGCTGCTAGCTATATATGGATCTGGAATGCGTGCGATCGCCAACCGAAACCACGCAGCAGCCATTAATGTGTTCTCTTTTTGAGGAAGATGATGGAAGCGCTTGCCCTGTCTCCCCTCCCCCCGTCTGTACCGCCACTGGTTTCTTCCTTTGGCAGTTGTACGATGTGCTCTTGTACAATCGTTCATGACGGTGGAAAACATTACAGTCTGTTTGCAACGTCGCTCTTTTGTCGGCGTACTTGTCTATCGGTACTCACCACGCTCACTTTCAGCCTTTTAGACCTCTCAGTCTTTGCTTTGTATGTGTATCAAAATTGAACTCTCATGGTTCTTTTTGCTGGGTGAAACCAGTCAGCTTTGGGCTGAAATGCCATGGTGATGGTGCCCCGAGGAAGTTGGCAGCGAAACAGGTTGTTGCCCCTTTCTTTCCAGGCAACGTCGTCATACTGTTAAATGCCTGAATTTGGATGTATGTGACCAGTCTGGCGACGTCAACTCGGCGCACGACACTGTGTTTTTTTTGGTGCACGACACTGTGTTTTTTTGGTGCACGACACTGTGTTTTTTTGGGTGGGGGAGGTGGGAAGTATTGGGAAGGATTTTCTTATGTCCTCCTTTTGC